TTAATGAACACCTTTATTGCCCCATTGAAATCTGCGCTGACCAGCACGTAGCCGCATCCCTTTTTATGCTGTTCGACAAGTGGATCAGGTGCATTGTGAGCCAGCTAAAACCGAAAGCAGAAAACACTTGAATCAGTATCTGAAACAGATAAACGAAAGGTTGTTTGGCTGTTACCTTTTCATTCGAAATTTCATCAGGTTCTGGTTTGATGATGGCCTCTGGATGTGGCGCGAATATGGCACAGGTGACAGTGGCATTATGTGCTTTAATGCCCTCCCAGAAATCGCTGCGATCGCGACGAACCTGTAAGGATTACACAGCAATTAGCAATCAGGGAATAGGGGAACTTTCTGCATGGCTGTAAATAATCTATTTTACTAACCGAGCTCAGCTTGGAGTAGTCGTGATTGGTCTTCCATACGTAAATGCATTGATTCTCGGATCCGGCAATGATATACTTCCCGTCGTGACTGAACGACCCCTTGATCTGCGAGGACACATTCAAGTAACCCTTGTACTTGCAGGACAAGTTGAGATCCCTCAAATCGTAAAGGCGCACTCGGCTGTCATTGGAGGTGACCAATATTTTGTCCTCTCCGGGCATGGGCTCGATGCCGCTGATCTTGCGGCCAATGCGATTCTTGCCGCGGGTAGAGCGCACATGGATCTGTGTGTGGTACTTAAGCTGGTCCGTGTTGTAGAATATGCAGCGTCCATCGTAGCTGCCCACCACAGCAAACTGACCGTTCTGACAGAAATTGGCTGCCGTGATGAGCTTTGTCTGGCCATCCACCTCGTTCCACAGAGCCACCTTCTTGTCCGGTATATTCCACAGTCTCAGCTTGCCATCGAGGCTTCCGCTCAGAAAGTATCGATCGTCGCGCGGATGGAAGGCAATGGCTGTGACAAAATCAATATGCTGGAAGCAGCAGAGGCACTCCTTTCTGGATATGTGCCACAGGCGGACCGTCTTGTCCATGCTGCTAGACAGGATGAAGTAGTTCTTCGACCAGCTAACATCCAGCAGATCCGAGGTGTGCCCGTTGTAGGTGCAGAAGGGCTTGGGCATGAAGGGCCCTGTGCATTTCTCAGCGGCTGTGGCCATAGCAATCGCCTCCTCGGCCGAGTGCTGCGAAACGAGAGACTCCTGTGAGGGCGTGGGCGATGACTTTTGATCGGCATTGTATTTGTTGCGCATGTCCTAGGGAATGTTAATATTCAATGAGCATTAGGCACAAGAAAATTGATATTTGCAAGAGCAGTTACCTGAAAGAATGGATAGGCATCTTTCAACACCCAAATTCGCAGAACCTTATCCTGCCCCGCTGTGGCCAAGAGGCGCCCGCACGAGCTGAACTTCATGCACCACACTGCGCTCGTGTCCTCGCCACTTAAGTCCTGCACGTGCTGGAGTTTGGTGAATTCGTAGGGTCCCTTGTTGGACGAGGACGCTTTGATTTTGATATTCTGCTCGGGATTCATGGCGTCCACGATATCGGCCACATCCTCCTTGTGTCGCGCATGCGACACTTCAGATGCAATCGATTTGGCCTTGTCCACAGTCTTGCGCATTGTGGTGCCAAAGAAGCGCTTAATGCGTGCCGTTTTCTTCTTCAGACGACTGCCGTCGTCCGTTTCGAGCTCTTCCTCGTCGGGCTGTTGGCCTTCAATACTAGGCGGTATGCCAATCACACTCTCTTCATCGGACTCTTTCTGGGTCACCTCCAGGTGGGACGTCAGCTTTAGGATATGCAGCGAGAGTGGATTCCAGCCCTCAGGCACTGGCGGTGAACGCATCTCGGAGAGCGGCATGTTCTCTCCCGTGTCCAGGTTCTTCACAGGCACTTGCTCGAGTATCTCAAAGTCGGTAAGCTGCTTGCCAGAGCTGGTGCGTGTCCGCACGTAAATGTTCATCTGCCTTAGCACATCTTCGTCGCCAGCAGACTTTCGTCGTTCCTTGTCGTTGGTGACGCGATACAAGGCTGGATATCTGTGGGGCAAACAGAGAACCAAACATATTTCATTTCAGAAAACCAAAAATCAAAGAAAACTCACCGCGTGGCACTGCCCAAGCTATTGGAGCCGGTGCCCGCCAACTTGGGACGATTTGCGTTCTCCATGAGCATTTTCTCAATGCGCTCAATCTCATCCTGGGATGGACCCTGGGCCTTGTTGCTGGCCTCGTCACGTGGCTTGACTACGTAGCCCCCCTGAATGGCCTTGAATAGATTGAGACCCTGATTCGGATCGATGGAGCTGACGCGTCCTGGCGCTGAGTTGCTCTTGGCCGAGTTTGAGGGACTTGGCTTCGAGTAAACTGACGTGGAACTGCTCCCCAGCGAATGCGAAGGCTTGGAGAGGGCAGCAATTGCCGTCGTGGCCAACATGGGACGTATATGCATGGCACTCATCGACGGCATCTGCACCAGAGACGAGGGCGTGGCCGTGGTCGTGGCCGATACGATTGTGTTGGTGGACGAGCAGGTCAATGTGTTGCTGGATGCCGAGGTATTGGCATCGTTCAGCGAGCTCTCAAACTCCAGGACAAAGTCATCGCGCAGCTTCTGCTGGGCATCGCGTACGCTTCTTACAGAACGAGTGTCGCTGTCGGTGTCTTCCGCGTCGGTCGGCCGGTCGGACATATTATACTGATCCGAGGAACTGCTTGAAAGGTGTCGCGATTTCTTCTTCCTTCGCGGTGGCGCCACTGGCCCGCATGAGGTGATAGAATCTGTTGTCTTGGACTGCGCAAGCTTTGTGCTTGCTATCACATCTGGCTCTTGCAACATGATTCCAACAGCAGCTGATGCCTGCACAGGTACTGAGGCATTCGAGGGGACCCTAGAAGCAGTGCCTAATGCACTGGGAGCTGCAGCATCTTGCAGCTGATGCTTGGGCGAGACAGCTGGCGTCCCTATGCCAGAGGATGTGCTTGCAGTTCTCGGTGCTGAGGACATGGTCGAAGACTGCGTCGGTTGTTGGGGTTGCGTCTGCGTCTGTGCCTGTTGCTGTTGCTGATGCTTCTGCTGGGCATTCAGGGAGGCCAGGGACTCACGATCAATACTGATGGCTGAGCATAGAATTGAGGGCTTGCTTAGTTTTTTGACGAGTTAAATGAACGTCAAATTCTCACTCACCCGAAGGGTCTATACTGCCTGCCAAGATGCGTCCCACGCGACCCAAGGATGTCATGCTCTGTATGCTCATCGCATCGGTTTCGATAACCTTGAACGGATGCGTGGATCGATTGGTGAAAATCCCATCCGTGGAGCTATTCTGCAATCAGTAAAGAAATCATCAATTAGTAACGAAGGATTAAACAATGAGAAATCAAAGCAGTTTGCAAAAATAAATACCTGAGAGTCAGGTGTGAGTGTATTTCCTGGATTATCATCTTCATCGTTTTGCATGCACTGACGGAGTTCGCGAAAGCGTTGTCTACCATACTATATACGATACGTTTCATAGTTATAGGATTAGATTGAAGTTTAAGTTGTTTTTCGCATCATATTTACGACAGAAAGAGAGTGTATAAACCACAAAAAAATATGAAAGAAGAGAATAAAAATATTTTTATTGTTAATATTGGAAATTCTTAGGCAAAACTGACAAATGCACCCAACATATGACCGTGCCCCACTTACTGCTCCATGCACTGGCTTCGGCTCGGCGAAGACTACGGGTTGCTGCTTCAGACGAGCGCCTAGACTGTTGGTGGGACTCCGTGTGGCAGGCGTTCCAGCGCCAATGGGAGTCGCATCGCTGTCCGATGAGGCGGCCGCATTGACACGCACTGCAGGCTCTGGAAATATAAACTCCTGAGCCACCTCTGCCGGCAATCTACGACTAGAATGTACAAATTTGTGTATTAGTCAGCCACGCTGGATATAAGATTAGAGTGCGATGCGTACCACAGTGTGGAATGACGATTGGGCGTAGTGTCTTCGGCATCGAAAAATTCCTCGGAACTGTCCGAATCGGTCTCCAGCTTACTCATTGTTGAGCTGTGGTTGTGCGTAGTCAATGGGGTCTCGTCTCTGTGTATTACCTAACCAACTCAACTCGTTTTTGTATGCAAATTTTGACGAAGTACTTTTTTCGCCTTTTTGTTATTAACTTAACTCCCTTTTGTTGTTGTGGAGCGTTGCTCACGCTTCAGATGTTTGTCGACTTACGTCGTTCTTGGCTGTCGCGCTAACGCAACAGTCAATGTTTTTAACATTTTAGAAAAATTTGGGGGTTAAAAAACATTTTACCACTATGAATTTTTATGTAGAAATCAATTGTTTTTTAATTTATTTTCTACGTAGAGTCCAGTGTGGCCGCGTTAAAATATACCGTCCGACCCTCAGAAATATAATTAAATATACGGTCTCATTTTAAAAATAGACCGTAAATATACTAACGAATTCAAGTTTTTTTTTACATTTTCCTTGATTTTGATCTTCCATCGAATATTACCAGCTATATAGAACATTTAGCCACGCCTACATAATTTTACCCAATTAATGAATCTATTTTCTAATTGACTGGTTTATTTTAAAGACTTTCTTCTATTGCAAATTTCGTACAAAGGAATTTAACGAATATAGTCAAACAAATAAAACGTAAGAGAAAAGTCGTTCCTATTGCTCAATTTTGATATTCCGTTGAATAATACTGACTAACTAAAACCTTTAGCTCTGCCCATATAATTTTAGGCAATTGATGAATACATTTTCTACTAGATGAACTATTCTTTAGTACTTGCATGTATTGTGTTTTGATTAAAACTCGGTTTACAAATTAAATGAGACATATAATTTTCAAGTGGTTAAAGGATGTCCTTACCCGATTCAAGTTCGGTTTTGGTCACGCAGGCAGGCAGTCACGCTCGCACCCCTATGCTGCAACTATTCGATTAACTATCGATAGCAGCCAGCTGTTCGCCAGCCATGTTTGTTTTCCACACGGCACACTAGTAAACAAACGTACATATTTATGTGCAATTTTTGTACTTGTAACCTTTCGTAGAGTGACTCCGAGAGAGTCTACCAAGTGCGGTATTAAACGCAAAGTTCTTCTGAAGGGAGGACTGTATCTCACAACGACAAAGACATTCCTTAGGAATCCTATCGAATAAGAGAATCGTGCATTTATATTGTTTAGTGGGTGCCACTCTGTCCGCTACTGCGCATTAGATAAACAATAAGATTATGTTTGTTCGCGAACGCAACAGTCACAAAAGTAAATGAAAACAAAACAAAAGACTTTTCCTTTGTGCCTCATTGAAGACGAGCACGTTGACGCCAACACAACCAGCATAACGGTAAAGAACCGCAATATAAATAACTAACCTAGCGTAAGGCGCTGTTTAACCGAATAACGGTGCATTCGCCCCACACCACCCCAACCCACACACGCCAAACAGCTGCCATAGCGGCCATATTTGATAATTTTTTGCACTCGAGTTAATCTTAAAAATCTGTGCTCCGCCGATCACTACTTCAACATTACTATACTACCTGTTATCACAGACATAGGAGTACGAGTACAAAAACAAACGCATTGATTTGGTTAGACAACAACAAAGCGAACTTGTTTGGAAAACTGGTTTTGCCTGCAGTCCGGTTTTAACGATTTTACTAAGAATCCAAAGGGTTATAATGCCGAAACACTCGTATGTTTCTCGTATGTTTTTCGATCCACAGAAAAGTATATTTAATTTTAATTGTATTTGTTGCGGTTTTCAGCAGTGAAATTGAAAATACAGTCAGCTGACAGGCAACAGTGTGTGTGTTATCAGCATTTACTTGCAAATAAACAATTACATGGTACATACATATGTATGTACATTTATGTAAATATTAGGATTAGTTAACGTAATTGTTTAAGGGACCATCTTTTTTCTACTTAAGTTCTTACACATGTGCAGCAACAGCACGTTTCTGCTGATAATCAGCATTTCATTTAGTTTCATTCCAGTTTTGTTAATTTGTCATGTCTCGTTTCTGTAGTGCAGAGTGCAAAATAATCGGCGCCATTGGTTTGTCAAGCGAGAGTCGTTGTCAATAATGTGATTCATGTAATTCATTGGTTAGCAACTGTTGTATGGGGAAGCATATATATAGTAATATAGCTGGATCCCCTAAGATACGATTTCTATTCGCTCTGTTCTGCTCTTTCTATAAGAATGCAACGAAAGACGTTGCCTCCCTCAGAACGAGCTTATTTACCGGCGCGATAAGACGACGACGACGACGACTTGTGGGAGCTTGGAGCATAAATTTCCGCATTAGTAACAGTCAAGTGTGTTATAGTTATAGTGCTATTGTGTTAACAGTTGAAATTATACAAATACACCGCCAAAAATCACGTTTGGAGGCTGAACAACAATCCATTGTCCCCCATTTGTGCACTTGTATTGTATGGTAAATATGTACATATGTATGTACATAAATACGAAGCTAAGAAAATCATAAGTGTGTACAATGTACGATTAAACAGTGTACAACAGTGAAACGACATCTATGAACTACATATGTATATAAACTTCATCCCCGAGTGGCATACATTTGCACGCACATTACACATATGTGCATACATATATCACACATTCTCCTAGTGTCGTTTCTGCTGTGTATGTTCTGTTCCTTCATAATTTCTTCAGAATCTGCCCGATCGGACCACTTAATCATATAGCCTCTATAAGAAGCAACCATATAAATTTGTTGTTTCTTTAATGTCGAGAGTACTTAAACGTCGGTGCGCTCTTCCGAATCGTGTCTTTGTATGGATAGTTCAATGACAACCAAAGACTGCGAGAGATACGAGAGTGGGGCTATCTCGCTCGGATTTTGTGGCAGCAGAATTTTCTGCGTCTGGTTGCTGGCTCTGCCACTGCCTATGTGAAACGCTTGAACAAATGAAAATCCTAAAATGATCAGCCATGATATCAGTAGTTGGATGATTTAATTTAGGAGTTTGATGACTAGTACTTAGAGAGACGCAGCCAGTGGCCGTTTTTCCCTATAAAGATGTACACGATTGCCGTTTAACAAAGCAACCAACATCAGTGATATGGGTGGCAGTGGCAGTGCGCCGTCTACCTGTATCTTATCGCGAAAAAATTGAACAGTTTAAGCTTCATCGTGCACAGCAGCAGGCAGACACACATCAAACAGAACTGAGAACAGAGAACTGAGCACTGAGACGTGGGAGTGGCGTTTACAATTTCAATTAGTATCTTTGGGGACACTAAAGGCGACGGATATCCATTTTGAAGAATTGTTCCTCCCATTACGCGTAGTCGAGACTGATTTTTGTGATTCTATCGACAGAACTTGAGTTTCTTTCTCGTCAATCATTGTATAATTGAGTGTAAGGACTGTGACGTGATTTTATGATCGAATCGATGATCAATTTGACTGGTTTAGCGCTATCCGCCTGCTATTAGCCTTCGAGCGAGGATACGAGTATGCGCTTACGTACGCTTATGCAAAAAGCCTAAAGGATACATAGTTGAGGCAATTATCTCTTGGTCATTATAGCGTTTGATTGACTGCCGCTCCTATGCTAAAGCTATCTCTAGTCATGCTTAAGCCTTAAAGACTTCAATTTTACACTGACTTGCTTATCGAACCGAGCCCGACAACAGCAACAGCAACAGTCGAGAGAGGGGGGCGGCTACTGCTCCCTTATTGACTGACGTCTGTCCGTTTTCTATATCTAAGAGATTTTCTCATCAGCTTGTCAGGGTATTCCTTTATTTTGTTGCCAAGTAACAAAATTCTAGAACTGATTCAGCCCGACTTATATATATTTTTTTATTGTAGATATACTCGTAAATTTCACAGGTTTCTTTTTTATTAAAAATTCGAATTTTGGCTTTCAGCTGGGAAAAAGGCGTGGGACATATTCAGTTAAGGAGTTAATGGACATGACCAGACAGTGATTGGACACATCCCCATATCTCAAGTACAGGCTGCAGTACAGGCAACGACCAACCGGAAGAGTCGTCGTCAAGATCGAGATCCAGATCCAGAACCAGTCCAGGAAACAGCTGTAGCTGAAACACAGACAACAATGAGCACAAATAGCAGCTTTTTTGATGAACATTTAACCATGCTATACGCAAATCTGATGAACAATTACGTGCCAGAGTACTTTAAGAGCTTCCAGTACACCCCGTGGGTGTTCTCGCTGCTGGGTTCGGTGGTTATCGGCCTCAGTGGCATCTTTCCACTGCTCATCATTCCGTCAGAGGAGAAACTGGCCAAAAATGGATACAAAGACCGTAAGTGTTGCTCTAAGAGATTAATTTTAGACCGTTTTTCAAGATCAAGTTGTCTCTCGCTTCAGCTGCGGAATCAAAGTTCCTGCGAGTGCTCCTGAGCTTCGCAGTGGGAGGACTGCTGGGGGATGTGTTCCTCCATTTGCTACCAGAGGCCTGGGAGGGCGATCACCAGAGCTCCTCGGGGGAATTGGGGGACAGCCACCCATCGCTGCGCTCCGGACTGTGGGTGCTCGCTGGCATACTGATCTTCACAATAGTGGAGAAAATCTTCTCCGGCTACACGAACGCAGACGAGGAGAATCCCCAGCCCAAGTGCGTGGAGATCGCAAACTGCCTGCTGCGCCGCCATGGGGGCAAGCTGCCGGAGGGGGGAACCTCCGAGAGCTGCGGCGGAGCCTGTGACATTGAGGACGTGGACAAGGTATGTTTCTTGCGCGAGCGAGAGCAGAAGTCCAAGGAGCAGAAAGAACAGCCCAGGAAGGTCGCCGGATACCTGAACCTGCTGGCCAATTCCATCGACAACTTTACGCACGGCCTGGCGGTGGCTGGATCTTTTCTGGTCTCCTTCAGACACGGAGTCCTGGCCACATTCGCCATACTTTGTAAATATGATGCTGGCTTCAGCTAGTCGTAGATCCTTACGTGGTGTTCCTTTGCAGTGCACGAGATCCCCCACGAAGTCGGGGACTTTGCCATTCTTCTGCGCTCCGGATTCAGTCGCTGGGATGCGGCTCGGGCACAGCTGCTAACAGCAGGAGCAGGACTACTTGGTGCCCTGGTGGCGATCGGAGGCTCCGGTGTAACCTCAGCCATGGGTATGTCCACCAAAACTATCATCTTTCAGCGTCAGTGAGCTGAGCTCTCTTCTTTGCTTTTACAGAGGCACGCACCTCGTGGATCATGCCCTTTACCGCTGGCGGCTTCCTGCACATTTCGCTGGTCACAGTATTACCTGATCTCTTAAAAGAAGAGGAACGCAAGGAATCCATTAAGCAGCTGCTAGCCCTGGTCTTTGGCATTGCATTAATGGCTGTCATGACGACGCTTTTCGAACACTAACCTAACCCTAGCAAGAAGCCGAGCAGCACATCAGAATAGTTTATTCCATAAATGGTTCCACCAGGATGGCTCCGTTGTTGGGTGTCCAAAATTGAAATGAATTTGTTGTACTTTACGGGATGGCTATAGGGATGCCTAGCCCCTCCTGGCCACTCGTCCTATTTTGCGTTGTGTAATTATAGCCGATACGAATGATATTTAAACTACTGTTAATAATTACGTATTATTGTAACATACGAAAAACATGAATAGAAACTGTGTGTTTTCAAAGAAATCTATCTTCGATCTGCTCTCTGCGGATATCATCTACTATTTATGCAACAGAAAAGACAGCTCGAGATATTCTTCTATCAAAAGAATCGGTTTTTATTTTGTTTTCTTTGCAAGTCCATTGATCATCTGAGCGCTGCGCTTGCAAGCTTATCTAGAGTGCCTTTACTTCTTAGACTTGATCTTCTTAAGGTAGAACTCCAATTCCTTGCCTTCCAGAATGTAGCCGTCGGAGCGACCGCACTGACCGGGGCGGGAAGAAATGCAGGCTGAAAGGAGCAGAAAGAAAGAGAAGGGGATTAGCAAACGAAAGGCAATCCGCCCGCACTGGACATAAGCTGTTTGGCAATCAGAGTAACTATGACAAGCCGTAATCACACCCAACAGGCTTGCATCATTCTTAAAACAAGAATTTTGCAATAAAGTTGTTGGATCGCTAAGGATTTTACATCATTTGTATACAGCCAGCGATAAAATGAAAACTATAGAAAATACACACCCAAGATGCGGCCAGAAGTGAACTGGTCCTCCAACGCCTGCTCAACTTTGCCAAACTTTTGACGCTCCAGGTACTTCTTCATGACCTTTTCACTGCGCTTCTTGGTCAGCACATCGTTCTCATCCTCCTTCTGTGCGTGCTTGGGGTTGCGCTTGCGTCCCAAGGGCAGCACGTAGTGGGACTCGTACCATTGGCGGAATGGCGTCGCGTCGATGACCACAATGCTGTTCTTCACCAGTGTCTTGGTGCGCACCAGCTCGTTGTTGGACGCATTGTAGACGACATCAGCGATACGAGTCTTGCGGGCAACACCCTCAGAGGCCCAGGCAAAGTTGCCGTTCTCCAGGCGCAGGGCACGCAGTTTGCTGTTGCCTCCACGAGTGCGCACAGAGTGCACGCGGCTGGAGCCGAGCTGCAATAAATAAAATGAAAGACCAACCGTTTAGAATATCCGCAAACTTCCAAGCAGTAGAGTATTTAGTTGGAACAGCGACAGTTGAAAATCAGTAGTCCGAACATAAAGCTTTTAAATCATCAAACAGTAGCGCACGATTAGGTAAACCATGCGCAATTACAGTTGACACGCGTTAACATCATTTTAGCAAATCAGCAATAATTTTATGCTATGCCAAGTAGCTACATTTCTGTATGCCACGCACTGACAGGTGACAGGCGACAGGCATCGCTTACCTTGGTGTTGGCGGCGGGGCGACCCAACTCGAACTTGCGCTTCTTGCGAAGCGACTTGCGCTTGCCACCAGTAGAGCGGCGCTTGTGTGCACTATCACGGCTAATACCTGGGAACAATATTAAAACATACGAATTAAATTAAAACATGGCACATTGGCTGCGCTTAAATATCAAGAACACAAACACACGCACGCCAACCACAACTCATGGGCAACTCATGGGTTCGAGGGTTGAATTCATTGAAAAATGCATCAAAATTTTTGGAATTATTGCCGATCCGTTGGTGGCATTGTTTTTCACACACTTTTACATTGATTCAATGCATTTTTGAGCCAATTTCCTTGATATTTTAACGCATTTCGCACGAGCCGACTTACCCATGTTCGAGTAAAAAGCGAGAAAGAAAGGAAAAGACACGCACAACACCTCGTGTCAAAATTTTTAGGTTACTTTTTTGACATTTGCCATTATGGGCAACCCTGTTCCAGCTGGTCTGCCACTGTTAACATGCGCATTGCAGCACTTTTGGTGCTACTTTTGAGTGGCAATTATTTGGCGCTCAAGTTTGGTGGGAGATCCTCTCGTTTTTTGGGGATTTGCTATTGATGGAATTCTTTCTCTTCGTTGAGGGATTTTTCATCGCAGCAATGTCCCTACATTCCGTACTCACTTACGTTGCCACTTTTTTTGTTGACCTTTTTTGTTTAAACCTTGTTTTACACATGATACAATACAAAGGAGTACTTAAAAGTAACTAATCTTGTAGAAAACTTATTCATCAAGGCCCTAAAATTATATGGGATGCGCTAAGAGTCTTAGTTAGCCAGCATTATTCGACGATTTTGGTATATTTCTGAAGTTCAGACGGATTTCAGATTATCTTGCCACCATGTCTAGCTTACACACCTTGCTAATGTTTATACTTATAGTATTTTCCAGGATTTTTAAGTAATTGACTCACCCTCTTTCCCAATGGACCAATGGAGAAACCGTATAGAAACCAATTTTAAATCTAGCCATGTCCCAGGCCACATCGAATAAGTGTTCGTGATCAGCATCGAATTTCTGATTACATGTCAAAAAGTGAATAACGGACGTTTTCCCACGGGAGCAAAAATGAAAATAATTCGTTAGCATATTTACGGTATTTTTTAAAATTTGTGACGTACTTCGGTATATTTCTAAGGGTCAGACCGTATATGTTATCGCGAACTAGAAAAGTCTGTACCAAAACAATTTTTTGTTCAAAAGAACCTAATTTTAATTCAAAAATTCGGTAATTAAACGGTTCGGTACACTCAGACAAGTTTTGAATGCAACTATGGTTGGCAAAAACTTCAAGGCCCTCTCGCATTTCCATCGCCTCACCGAATACATAGTACAGTGCAAGCACTGCGGCAAAACACTCTCCTCCAAACACACTTCATCGAATCTGACGCGCCACCTAATAAGGAACCACAAGCTACTGGCTCGACAGATTTTTGCGGGCGAAGAAGGCAAGATGCTGGCTGAGCTAAAGGACGAGTTGGAGGCGGCGGCCTCGGCCTCTGAGGACATGCACATGATGGACGATGGCGACGGCGAGGGAGAGGGGGACGGCGAAGGCGAGACCAAGAGTGCTGTTCGCACGATTATGGGCGTTCAGCAACAGCTGGATCGACAGAGCCAGGAAGCGGAGATGCGGAACAAAGTAATTGGCAAGAACAACAAGCTGTGGGCGCACTTTGTGCGTATGTCGGAGTTTATGGCAAAATGCAAGCACTGTGGGAAGACATTATCCTCCAAACACTCGTCGTCCAACTTGATGCGTCACATCGTGCGCCGCCATCACAATCTGTCGAAGACCTTAGACCACTCGCATCATCACTTGATGGTGCCCAAAAAAGAGATCGTGTGCAACGTTGAGCGCAGGCAGATGGCGGATCCACTGGAGAAAGTCAACTTCGATGATGTAGATAGCATTATTGAGAAGGTGACGGATCATTTGGAGGACGAGGTGAGTGTAATGTATTATTCCACTGTCCACGTTTTGCGGCCGCAGTAAATGTAATGCATATTTGTTTTAAGGTAACTTCGATTTCGCTGCAGGAACCCTTTTACGAGTACGTCGTCGACAACACCGAAGACGTTGGGGATAAGCATGATTATCCCGAATCAAGTGACATGCACCACATAGTCCGAGCGGACTCCGCCTCGCTTTCGGAGACCACCACGCAAATGGACGAGAAGCTCAAAGCTGAGACAATATACTTTAATGAGATGGCCGAATTGGCCAGATCCAAGCGGAGACTAATCGACCTGCAGACCAAGAAGCTCCTCCTCGATATGAACGTTCTGGAAAACTAACAACAACACAACGGCACACAGGCGGATACGTTTATTTTAATACGTATATATATTATGTAGATGAAATGGATGGGCGATATGATTAAGTATGTAACAAATTATAATTTAAACAATAATTATATTGGCCTGTTTATTATCTGGCGTCGTTTGGATCAGAGATGCATCGGTCGCCCCCGCTTTGGATGTTGTTTGGCAGGCGTTTGGCGAAGCCCGGCTTTAAAATAGACGAAGAACATAAGATCTGTATACAGACTCCTGTGATATCACACTGTTAAAATAATTGAAAATTTCACCCTGCCCAACACTAAGGACGAAAATCTGTGGCAACCGAAACGCACAATCGTACAGAATCTGCCGAAACTGGCTGAGATCGGATCATTATTTCAGCCAGAATGAAATCGGATTGCAATAGCAACACTATCCCCTAGTGGTCGTGGTTACACCTAAAAAAATTACGACAGAATTGCGGTGAGGAGATCTTTCCTTCCCTCAGTGATACCAAAAGACAAAGGCAGACGCGGTAGTCGTCGGCTGCGATGTTAACTCTCACGAGTACGTACAATTACGTATAGAATATGTTTTATAGGTAATATAGATCATAAGCTCACATACATACATATATGTATATTCTACACTGACTACTGACTGAGTACCGGGTCGCAAATTAGATGCACCGCAACTGACAACAAAAAAGTTTTAAATAAATAAAAATAAAAGCAACAACTTTGTTTTTTATTTTATTTTTGGTTTTAGCCATTTTTGGCATATTTATTTTTGTTTTTCAAATCCAGCTTGTATTGACTCTGAAAGTCTAGCAGCACTTTGGACCAGGGGAGGAGCGTCGTGCCTCTCTGGCTTGCTGCTGCCGAGCAAGAACACCACCAATAGTAGCAGCAACTCCAGCCCGGAGCTTGTCCATTTGCTTGTGCCGGCCTAGTCGGAAACGCACACTAAACATATTATATGGCCGCCCAAAGAATCAATCTATCTAACACAAACCGACGCGAACGAAAAAAAAAGAATAATATATTTTTATAAGCAGCATCGTCTGGATCGGTGCGTTGTCGCATCAGTGGCGACACTTTCTTGATGGACTCACTTGCTTTTATTCCGTTTTCTTTTTTTTTCTTGTTTTGATAACTAAAATATAGTTTCCGCGCCCAATTTTCAGCCTCCAACAGAAAAACTCTCTCTCAATGTTTCGCGTCTACAACTGTTTTTGTTGTTATTACGCGTCGGCGGCCAAAACATAACGGACCTTTCGCTAGGGCTGCAGAAAACCAGCATTGGAAAAATTCTATCAATAGTATCGAAAGAATATTCGTATTAAATAAGTCTATAATAGATATACACATTAAGCAACATAATAATATTACTGCTCCTAATTAATTAATTAATGATTAATATTCATTGATAATAATATAGAGTACTGTATTGATACGGTATGTTACGTTTTTATGACGATAGTGTCGAGTCCCATGACTAGGGCTGCAAAAGCAAATTTCAAACAACCCGCACAGCAACTGAAAAAAGCGACGCGAACCACGCGTGGCGTCCGTGCCCCCGTTAAAAACTAACACGAAAGTGCAAAACAGCTTCCCTTCGAAAGTAAATGTTATATAAAAGTATTCTTGTCTGCATAACATTCGGTCACGCATTGTACGCACCACATTCGAAGCTCGCAGCCGACGCCTAAAAAGGCGAAGCAAAATACCGGGAATTTTTTGATAATTATATTATTGTGCTGGCATAAGTCAATATAATTTCAATATGGATACATCTGGAGAACTCGGAGTCCTAAAGAAGATGGTGCATTCTGTGTTGGTGTCGTCACCCGAGAGAATGACGCTCCAGAAACTATCTCGCGACTACAAGCAGATGGTGGGCTCAGAAGTGCCGCATCGGCAGTTCGGCTACAGAGACGTCGAAACTTTTCTCCGCTCCATGCCAGACGTCATTAAGGTGTGAATCTAGCTAGGTTTTCGTACTATTCTTGTGCATAGTCAAACTAATGTTAAAATCACATTATCCACAGGTGATCGGATCTGGGCCTATGGCTATTGTCCAGCCACTGTCAACTGCCAAATCCGCACACATCCAGAATTTCGTCAACAATCAGAAGAAGATATCCAAAAAGTCCAGAATTCATGCTGCACAGAAGCCATCAGATTTGGTCTTTATCAACGAGAAGAAGGCCTTGTCTGGGCAGGTGTACAATCTGGTCAATAATTTTCAGCCGCATATGCGCCCTAACTCCCAGCAGGCTCGCGTGAAGAACGCCCAAACCACACATCCAATCGATCCGATCTATAGCGCCCAGATGAGAATAATGTTTGACATGCATAAATATTTGTACAAAAACAGCAATCAAAATCAAGTTCAGCTTCCACACCCAAGATGCAATTCGTCTGATAATGATCCAAGTGGCCAGCCGAAGAAAAAGGAGAAAAATGTGTCAGTTGCGAAGCAAATGCCCATCGAACCCTATAGATCCGACGATCGTGAGGTCCTACCCAATTTCGACCAGCTGAAAGTGGATGTGTCCTTCGGCGATGATTGCAACGAGAGTGATGCCTTTCCGGAATATGCTGTCGATCAACGTGTTCTCAGCTTCGACTATCCTCGCGACGCGGTTCGCTCCGATTACAAGCTGCCTCGTCGCGTCTTGGAAAAAACTCTCAAAGTGGATGAGCGGTACTTCCTGCAGCTTGTGGAGGTGACCAATCCGCATAGCTTTCACTTTTGGATATACGACGACTACGACCTATATGATAACTTTTCACACAACATGCAGGAAGCCTACAAAAATTTGGATTCGGCGACGTTCACGATGCCGCAGTGCCTGATGACGCCCGGCCATCTGTGTGTCGTCTGCCCCATTAATTCATCGGAGTGGGAGCGAGCCAAAGTCGTCAGTCACCGGAAGAACAATCTACGAAAGACTATTAAGGTGGAGCTCATCGATACGGGTGTCATCGATACCGTCTACGTTAAAGACGTGAAGTTTTTAATGAAAGAATTCGCCAAGTTGCCGCCGCAAGGAATGCAGGGCCGCCTGGCTTACGTGGCTCCGATGAGCAGTCGAAACTGGTCATCGAAGGCTGTCAACGCATTCAAAAATCAAGTGAACAACCGCAGACTCTTCGGAAAAGTGGAAGCTATCAAACACAACATCGCGCATATGGTGCTCGTCGGTACGGATAATGTAAACTTGAACCGTTCGCTGATTGACTCCGGCTTGGTGCGTCGCTGGTTCTAGACCTAGCAGACAGTTCTTTTGATCATATTAATATCAACATTCATATCCTTATACATTCAACTTATCAATCTTCGTCAGATAACATTTTATTGTTTTATATTTTAATGTTTAACTTTAATAAATAATAACTTTAATAATAAATAATACTATTTAAACGGTTTAACTTAAGGTTTTCACCTGTCTAAATAGAGGGGGTTAAGTGGGCTAGGTTTGAATTGTTATCTATATAGGAGACGCTATATTGTTGTTGAGGCACCAAAATTGAGACAAAAACAATCAAAGCAATCGTCGTAGGAGGAAAACAAGTCAAGTATTTAAAACAAGCCAGTCAAGTAGGAAATTGATTCATTAATGGGATAAAATTATGTGGGCAGGGCTGAGGGTTCTATCTAGCTAGTAATATTCAACGGAATATCAAAAACGAGGAATATGTCTAATAGAACTTGAATTCGTCAGTATATTTACGGTATATTTTGAAAATGAGACGGTATATGTTGGTATATTTTTGAGGGTCGGACGGTATACTTTTATCGTCATACGCGGTCACACTGCGTGTTAGTTTTCGCAGAATTTTTCTTAAAAATTAGATAAAAGCGACGCCGTTGGGAAATAATGGATACTTTTTCCCCCAACAAGCTGCGCCAGTGCTCCCGGTTCATGGGCGCACCTTGTACCCCGGAAAAAGATCAACTGTTGGTCGATGTGGCCAAAATAAAGTCGTGCGCCAATCCTACGTACGAATGCAGCCAGACGCGGGTTGACGGACATGAGTTTTGCATTCGCCACGTTCTTCGCGATCCCCGGGCAAACTACCGCCAGTGCACACATGTGTACACCAACGGAAGAAAGTGCATAAACGCAGTTCCCAAATATGATAACAAGAAGGAGCAGATACTCACTACACTTTGCTTCGAGCACAACCGACAGACGCAGCTGCAAAAGACGCATGTAGCCGTCGGTCGTCTCCGCAGTGGCGTCGAGACCAATGAGACGTTGCTCAGCACTCTTTCCCATCACATAAACGTAGAGGATATTAAGTTCGAGTATCCGTGCTCAGAGCTGGATGAGGATATGATCGATGTTGTTTCACCGCACGTGGCACCGTTTGGTAAGGCAGCATACAGAGTACAGTGCCACATAGTTAGGGTGGGTTTAATTTATGTTTCCATTATAGTTAATCAGGATCATCGAAATGGTATAGAGAATGTTATAGAAAAGGTCCGCCGCCGTCGTCGAATCTTAGATTACGCCTCCGACAGTTCCAGCAATGATGGAGATCCGCCTTGTGTGAAGAATACAGCCAAAGATATCGAGTTCTTTGAATCGGAGAACGAAAGCATCGATTCTGAAGACGATGATCCTCTAAAGTAAGTCTTTCACCAAGTACACTGGTTGTAGGGTCCTTTAATGATTACTTTTAGGCATGCCGGCGTCTACACTCGTGCTGAGGCTGTTCGGATTGCAGAGTTGAAAGTGAATAAACTTCAGGGCCTTTACCGCGAAGAGCTGTCCCACTTGCAGCTTGTTCTGAAACAAAGGCGTCGGCAGTACCTGCACGACATCCGGCGAGAACGGGAAATTTACTGTAATGTCAAAATTATTAGTGTTTTTCGCAGCAGGTTTCTGAATTGTCTTTCTATATTCGCAGGCAGTATCCACGATCAGCTTAAGGAGACGCCGCACGAGCGCAAGCTCTACGAACAACTGAAGGCGCTCAACAGCTACCATCGTCGGCAGGGCGTTGAGGCGGTTCTCTACAAAAAATTCAAAGAGAAACGCGCGCGGGACACGCTGTTTGCTTCGAAGTCGGCCAACAACCCCAAGTGTATTTTTACAGAGGGCGGCGTCAAATGTGGAGAGCGAACGCTGCCATGCTGCAAACACTGCCGCAAGCACATATTGGAGGATAAGCGCCAGGTTCTATTTCGTGCATGTGGAGTGGAGCGTAGCGGTGTTGTATGCCAGGAGCCCGTGACAAGCATGCTTGAAGACGCGAACTGTGTGCTGCATCTGAGCGTGGTGCCAGCCAAGCGCCAGTACATACAAAAGGTGGGTTAAATAAAATCTAAGCCTAACCACACCATTTTCATCACTTACACACGAATGTCGCTTCTGCTATTGTACTTATAGTCTACGTGTTTTGCATACAAATTTATAACTCAAACTGTTAATCATACGAGTATTTGCCACCTCAACAATATTAAAACTAGATCTTAGACCTATCATATAGAACTGTAGTAGAACTACGAGTATGTAGATCTACATACGGGTTTATTGAACAGCTTGTGATCGACTTTGAATAAATTACCGAACTCACATCCTCTGGTTTTATATGGTAAGATGGTAGTCTGTTGGATAAAGCCCTGACCATATTTCAACATGTAACAATACGTCGGCAGTGGAAGATCGGAATGTGGAGAGTGTTCATATATGTATATGTAGATGAATATTTTGCCTCAACGTGTATCCACCCGGAAATGCACTGCATATTAGTTTTAATCACAATCATCTATCTGATATCTCATGCCTCTTATTGACGAACCTACCTACTAATCTCTTCTCACAGAAATGCGAATCTGAGACCGAAGAAGACGAAATCCCTTCAACAAGTACTCTCATTACTGAAACTGAAATATCTGCAGACATGATGCTTTCCAGAAGCTTTCGCAATGTCACCACAGCACATAGCGAAGACAGAAAAAACGATATTAAGCTTCTGAGATTGTCACCCAAACAATCGACCGCTGCGTAAGCCTGTGTAAGCCAACTCAAATGCCAATCCAAATTCAGTTAATTATGGGTAAAGGATAATGTTATGTTGCCCATTACGTGCAATATCAGGCGTGCAGAACCCCAATTCGTAAAGTTTATGATATAAATTGCTTCACGAGCAGAGCAGTCGTCGAGTACTAACATCAAACGATTTCACAAAATTGATACAATGTAGATGCATACATGACGTTTTTTATTTTATATAAATTTAACAATTGAGATATTTTACTGATAGTTCATTGTTCAATTCACTTACTTAAAATTAATGACTGTATTTATTTGTTTTTTGTTTTTTTGATCTTAGAGCACAGTTATAAAATATCAGTTATCAGTTTCTCCATTCAATAATATCCCTAGTGAAATATTTACAAGTTATAATCGGAATTCGATGGCAAATGCGCTAGCTTATGGTACAATAAACAATTAAAAGTACAAAATATCCAGCTAAGTACTCTACTATATTCACTCTAGTCTGTTTCTGTGTCTGTGACATCTTCTCAAACAGTTCACAGTTCCGTTGTGGTCTCCACCTCTGACCGATCCAAATCATTCAGGTACGAGAAGCCAATTTGGCCATAGTCTCGCTTTCCAAACGATACGTTCTCATTGGTGCAGCTTATGTGGTTGTGTCCGTCAACTGTCGATCTGCAAAATATGAATTAAATTGAGCTAAGGTTTACATACGAGCACTATTTGGCTATATTTGGCTGTATCTACCGTTGGAAAAGCGGGTTGGTGATGGGCACCTCTCCGCTGTACATGCGATTGTTCAGTTGGCTGTGACGACCGAGCGTGCTGCTGTTCATCAAGTCGCCATTTCCAGAACTGTCTACGCATCCATTCAACAATCCTGCACCGCAAAACGTATTTCCACGTCTGCCCATCGTACTGTAGGCATTATTTTTGGCAATGGCCAAATTATTTCGTCCAACCCCATTGTCCCCATTGGATCCCCCGTTCTGATAATGGTTCGTATTCTGATGCTTAATGCGCCCCAGAGTCAAGGTGCCGGAAAGAGCACCATTCGTGTTCTGCGGAGAGCCCAGTGGGTTGGCATTGTTGCGGGTGTTGATCTCTAGTGTGCGATTGAAGGTGTTTTGTCTATTGTTTATCGCCAGATTGTTGTTCATGTTGTTGAGATTGTTGTGGCGGCGAAGTGTGGCGATGGTAGCCGTTGTTGCATCGGAATGCGATGGACTAGACTGACCGCCTGCACCGTGGCTGTTGCCGTTGCTGTTTTCCTTGTGTGTGATGTAGCTGACGTTGTCCAGCGAGAAGGCGTGGTTCTTGGCGCTGAAGTCCAGCTGCAGGTCGTCATCACCATCGGGCGGCACTGCCATTGCCAGCATCTGCGTTTCGTACTCTTTCATACTGGCCACAGTCTCACTTGCATTCGAAGCCTGCTGGTTGACAATGACGGGGTCGTAGCGCGTTGGACTCGTCGACGAATACTGCCGCATGCGTTGTTTGAAGTTTTTGTACCTATTAGGAAATGGGTTGTTAATTACTACAGGAATCTGGGCCTAGCCTATGCTAAGGTACGTACTTTGACCAAGAAATGCATATATATATTATCCCTATGGTGCCCAATATCAGAATGATGAGTGATATGGCAATGAGCGTGAAGGGGAACACTTCGTCATCGATGTCTATGGCGGCCTTGATCTAATAAAGGTCTTACAATGTCACAAATATCAAACTTTCACGAGTAAGTCCTACCTTATGAACGTGTTCCTTTACTTCTATTGGCACGGAAATTCCATCGGCCTTGGCTCGTGGCAAAGCAAAGTTCAGTTCCAAGCGCGCAGCGGGTTCCAGCAACGTAGTCTCCACAATACTATCGTTGCGCTTTAATAGTTTCTCCGATTTCGGATCGATGAGGTAGAACCACACATCCGTAGCAGCTTGGTTCTCGATAACCGTGCCGTTGTTTGCCAGATACTTTTGATTGCTGAACCGCTCAATGCCGCTGACAAGTCCGGTTTTCTCATCGAGCAGCTCCTCCACCTCCGTGTGGTAGTTGCGAATTTCACTGGGAGCGGCGTTCGGAAAAGAGAGTGCCATACGATTGATGTCTGTCAGCTTGTTGACCACTATGCGGGCTCTGGTGCGATGTGATCCTTGTTCCTGGGCATCGCTGTCCCGCGCCTCAACCGAGAATGTCATTGGAAAGGCTTCTTCATTTCTGAAATGCCTCGCAGTTCGCAGAACACCATCTTCTGTCATCACAAAAAAGCTTGTTGGCTGCAATTAAAAACAAGTTAGAATGTACTCCTATTTTATATTGTGATAAAACTGTCTTTGAGTACACACCAAACTGATTCCCGTGTCCTCATCGTCGTACAACTTGTACCGAACTAAGCCAAACTTTCCGGAATCCCGGTCGGTGGCACGCACCTGCAGAATGGTCGTGTCCACATCCATATCTGATGTCACAACGGTGTAGAAGGTGTCCCGCTGACCACGCAGCCGATTGAAGACAAACTCTGGCGCATTGTCGTTCTCGTCCTGAACTATTATGTTCACAGTGGTCTTGTCCTTTAGAGGGTTGACAAAGTAGCGGTGGGACACAAGACGTAGCTGGAGCATGTACGAGGACTTGTTCTCGAAATCCAACGACTGAACGAGGATTATGCTGCATCCATGGTCGGCCAAGCTCAGGTCGAACTTTCCCTCGTCGTTTCCAAGCACAAACTCGCACCTAAAGTCTGCCGGTCCGCTGGTCGACTGTTTCGAATTAATGATCTGAACAATCTTCAGGGTGCTATTCACTTCCGTGGACTCCGGCACGCTGGTTGTGTAGCTGTCGTCACTGAAGCCCAGGCCGATGTTTTCTGTGCTCATTATCATCCCGCTCTGCACCTTGGTGTCCATGTTCATATCGTTGTTCTGGGATAGAGCAAGGTGTCGCACGTCCACGCGAAGAGGGGCCACCGAGCTCAGCTGGGGATCGCCCATGTCGTAGGCGCGGATGTCCACGTGGTACTCTGTGTCGACTTCCTTGCGCAGCTCGTCGCGGATTCGCACTGCCCCCGTGTCTGGATCGACTTGAAAGTATTTTGGTGCTTTGCCGCGTCCGACTATCTCGTAGCGAACCACGTTTCCAGGGGAGGTGCCATCGCCGTCAATGGCCGGCAGAGTGGCTATAATGGTGCCTATGGCTTGGTCATCGTTCACAGTCACTGGATCGGGCACAGTTATGAATCTCGGCGGCAAATCGTTCCGATCCTCTACATCCACCACCAGCTGGAGTGTGTCTCCAGGCCCATCTCCATCGTTTTCAATGGTACCGATGGTCAACTGGTGCTGTCGTTGGTTCTCATAGTCCAACCCCTTGATCGTGTGCACTTCTCCGGTGGTCGCAGATACCTTGAACAGTTCCGCATCCCCCTTGCGGAGCACGTAGGTTATTTCCGAAATCGTGTCTGGATCGAATGCCTGCACCGTGGCCACCAGGAAACTCTCCTCGTTCTCTGGTATATGCACGTCGATGCGAGCATCGCTGAACTTTGGCACTTCGTCGGGAATGTCGTGCACTAGCACGGTCACGCTGGCCGTGCCCAGGCGAGCGTCGGGAGCCCCATCCTTGGCGGTAACCACGAACTTGTACTCGTTCAAGCGCTCATAGTCCAGTTGAGAGGCTGTGCGTAGTTCCCCGGAGGTGCCGTTTATGGTAAATGGCACGTCTGTGGGTATGGAATAGGTGATCTCTGCGTTTATCCCTTCATCGGCGTCAGTGGCATGCACCACACCAACGAAGGCATCGGCAGTGCCCTCGTCCACTTGGAAGACGTAGGGCAGAGTGGACACATCAAACTCTGGATTCTTGTCGTTGATATCGGTAACCTTGATGTTCACTGTGGCGCTGCTCGAGAGACCACCGCTATCCTCGGCCCTCATGATCAGTTGGTAGCGCGTCAAACTCTCGCGATCCAGCTTGCGTATCACTATGATGACCCCAGTTTCTTGGCCCACAGCAAACTGACGCAGATCATTGCCGGATATGATTGAGTAGACGACTGCATCGTTCTCCGGATCATCGGCATGGACTACGGTGACTGTGGAGTTGATCTCCGCACCCTCGCTAACCTGCACTTCGTAGATGGGCTTCTGGAAGCGGGGCGGCTTCGTGTTCGGCCCCGGTGTCACGCTCACCTCCACAATGGCCTGCGAAGAGAGTCCTCCTATGTCGGTTGCCTGCACAGTTATGCTGTATTGCTCACCGGCCAGCAGGCGGCCGTGGGTTCTGATTTCCCCGGTTTGCTCGTCGATGGTGAACTTTTGAATGCCGTTGTTGGATACGTGGTAAATCGAGTAGGCGACCACGGCATTGGGCCCCTCGTCGTTGTCGATGGCTGTCACTTGGGTGACCAGCCGACTTTCGCTCTGATCCCCCGAATTGGCAGTGATCGCAATAGGCGAGACCATTGCCAGCTTGGGGGCATTGTCGTTGATATCTCGCAGATGCACCGTGAGGCTCAACGGGGCGCTGGCAGCGTTCGTTCGGGGCTCCCGGGCGACAACCTGAAACTTAAACCGGCCGGGGGCAGGCGGATCCCGATCGAGGTTGTCTTCGTTCACTACCAGAATGCCTCCACTGGTCACATTGAATGAGGGCGTGGTCAGTTCATATATATAATCGGGCTTGGGATCGCCCTCGCCCAAGTCCGCATCTGTGGTTCTGAAGGATATGGGATTGCCGTTTCCATCCAAGACTCTGGTGCCTATGGGCGAGTTTTCGTCAACATAGCCCTCGCTGGCTGAGGAGGATATGGCCGGGGGATTGGCATCGACCGGTTTAACAGCAATCGCCAGTTTGGCCGTGGTGAACCGTCGAGGTGCAGGTGAAATCTCTTCTGCGCGCACGATAATGTCATATCTCTTGGCCGTGGACGTATCAATGGCTTTTGTTTGCTTCAGCACTCCCGTTTCCTCATCAATCTCAAAGTAGTCTTCATAGTTACCAGGCATTCCACTGGCGAAACTGTAGCGTATCCGCGAGTTTATCGTGTCCAGATCGACCGCCTGTATTCTCTCGGGCAACACATTGAGGACACCCAGCAACGATCCTGCCGGCACAGACGCCGTGTACTCTGGGTTTATGCAGGCACCCTCGACTGACACGCAGCCCCGGTATATAAATGAGGGATCCAAATCATCCGAGTCGGCTATATTGACAGTAAGAGTGGTGGTCGAAGACAGTCGATGCTCGGTGTTGCGAGCCCGATCCTGAA